AAATCGTAATACTTAGGAAAGAATGCTGTTTTGAAGGCAAAGGGTAGTCAGATTAATTTAAATCTCTCTTCAGTTAATTCACCATGTATTTTGTTAATTAACGAAAACTGAATACTTCTATTTTTAAAACAATTATTTTGCAGCATTCACACCTGACAATTTTTTTTCACAGCACTGCCTGTGTACACGTGTGTGCAATCTGTCTTGTTTTGTGAATTTCTGAATGAAATAAGTAGTACATAGATGTCCTACCAACAGTTGTTGTCCACAACAGCTTGCAGTACGCAAGACGGCCAACCCTTTCTGTTGACGAAATCCTTATATCCATCAGAGGGAGGAAGGACGGGGATGTGCGATCCGTCGATGAGTCCAAAAATTTGGGGGATGTGGTGAGAGGCCTCAAAACCTCTGGCGATCTCCAACGCCTCCTCATCAGTTGGGACACGGATCAGTTGTTTAATGGGCCCCGTAATCATACTTTTGCAGAACATATATACAAACTTTTTCACACTGCTCTTACTTATCCCAAATTGATTTGCGATGATTCTGTATTCAGCAGAACTGCCCAGTTTATAAAGTACAATGGCAACTCGCATGATGAGTGGGACTGGACTTCTCACAGTCACCTCCTCTGGGGCCATATGACTCTCCATCAAAGCGCAGAACTTCATAAATGATCCTCGTTTCATTGGGAAGTTCTGCTTTCACTCCTGATCCGTGAACTCCACGAGCACCACACGCTCCCACCAGTCTTTACTCCGAACCTTCATCCACTGGCTCCTGGTCCTTGGCGGAGGAGGTGGCAATAAATGTAAGGTGCGGATGGACATGCCATCCTGCTCTCTACCACTGAAGCGAAGGAGGGTTAGCATAAGGTACTGGTAGGCCCTTAACTAAAATGAACACCAAAAACAAAAGTATTGTTACAAAGATGCGACGAAGGTCCATGATGGAAAAAAACGACATCAACAAACACGGCTGAAGAAAAAGAAGTGAGGGGCAGGCACAAAGAGTAGCTAAAGTTGAGGAATTGCGGACAAGTACTAGTTTGTTTACAAAAAGCCGGTTTCTTCTTCTACTGCTAAAGCGGAAGTACACAGTTCTTCTTCTTCTTCTGTTGTTTTATGGCGGATTGGCAGAGTACACAGTTCTGCGCATGCCCAAAAGATTTAATCTGATCCAACGCTTGGTACATGTATACACACGTCATGATCGGATCATTTCATTTAGTGCCCATCTAAACTGAGATTTTGAATTTCCGATCAACCAAGGTTTGGATCGAATCGGGGAAATTTTGCGCATGTAAACGTAGCTAGTGTCTTAGACTTAAAGCCAGGTGAACGATACTTAACAGTAAAGAATGTGGAAATCAGTTACATTTTCACACCCATCATCGAATATAATGCTCTATTGTCTCAATCTGTTGGTTGACTGCAACTTCAGTTCTCATTTGAAAAAAAATTTTTTTTTTAAATTGAAGCAAGGATATTGGGCCCAATATGAATACTGGAACTGATCGCAGAAATGTTTTCTACCCACACAGGGGGTTGACATTACCATAAAAGCATTTCAATCTGAAAAACTCACACAGAGAGAAAAGATAATTAGAAGAATTTATTGATAAGAAAGTATAGTCTTTGGCGCTCAGACCTCGGCAGGAACATTCATGCTGAATTATGCTTTAACATGCATGAGTAGATGAATGTGAATAGGGATGTTCCCCCCGGCCTGAAACTGGTGGTGGTTTAATCCGAGCTGGTTGACAAGGTGATCTGCTGGGCAGAATGTGGGACTAGAAGACTGAGGGAGCTGACGCCGGGGCTTCACTCAGACCCGGGATATAGAGGTCCTGCTTGGTGATGCAGGTACCGTGAACTGTCCATGATGAGCAAGCATGAAGCGACAGTGGAGAGGAAAAACTCCCCTTTGGGAAGAAACCTCTGGCAGAACCGGGCTCAACATGGTGGTCTTCTGCCGGACCAATGCGATGAGACGAGGGATGGTGACAACTGGGATTAATACTCTCTGATGAGGTTGAGGTGAAGTCGTGTCATGGAGGACGATTCAGCTGCGATGGTGGAGAAGGGGATGGAGGTGGGTGAATTGTCGTCTGAATCGAAATCCGACGTTGCGATTGCAGGATAGCGGCTGTGGTGAGATTTGAGGGAGTTTATAAAGTGGAAGCAGGACGCTGATTGGGCTTCGTGGTGGAGTAGTTAGAAGCTGATTGGCTCGCTTCAGAGACGGATCGGCTTCTGATGATGGAGGTAAGTCAGAGTTTCTTCAATTGAACTTCCGCTAGAGCTTCATGAGTCTTTACATGCTTCCTTTCTCCTGAATGTCATGAGCAGCTTTCAATGACTGCTGGAGTAGGTGTGTAAAAAAACACAGTCATTAGACAAGCGAGCTAGCGTTGCTAGTAGGACTCGAACCTACGCGGGGAGACCCCTACCTCGCTCGCGTTAGTCTGCATTTCTCATCAAACGAGCTTCGCCCCTCTCCATTCTCACATTGGACGATTGACCAATGGCGCACCAGCTCACAATGGACCGAGCCTATCGGCGGCCGAGCTCACAATGGAACTCCGCCAATCACCGCCACGATATCCGGAACCAATCAACGTCCGAGCTTACAATGGATACAGGCCAATCACCGTCACTCTGCTTGAGCCTATCAACATCCGAGCTCACAATGGACCTCGGCCAATCACCGTCACGATTTACGAGCCAATCAATGTCTGAGCTCACAATGGAAGTCGGCCAATCAACGTGAAGCATAACTTGTAGAAAAAAATAGATAGAGAAAAAAAACTTTCTGATTTTCGTATCCTAGAAAATTAAAAAAGAGAGAGAAAAAAGGTTGCCGATCTTAGAAAATTTAGCTCTCGGTGGCCAACTTTTCTCATCAAGAAAAAAAGAACCTTACAGTAAGTATACATTTTTATAGTTTATTGTTTCCTTCCATTCAAACAACGTTATTCCCTCTTTATTTCACATTAGCTACGAATAACATAACACAGATTAAGTAAATTAATGGTATTATGATGTCACATTTTCCCTCTTTATTACACATTAGCTAAAGATAATATACTGTAGATTAAATAAATTAATGGTATTATGATGTCACATTTTCCCTCTTTATTACACATGAGATAAATATAATATACTGTAGATTGAATAAATTAATGGTATTATGTCACATTTTCCCTCTTTATTACACATGAGATAAATATAATATACTGAGGATTAAATAAATTAATGGTATTATGATGTCACATTTTCCCTCTTTATTACTCATTAGCTAAATATAATATACCATAGATTAAGTAAATTAATGGTATTATGATGTCATGTTCTGTTAGCAAACTGACACAGTTTTAAAAGGTTAAGGTTTACAATATAGTAACTTTTTAATTTAAAATGTCAGTAAAAATTTTTAAATCCTTTCATCTCATACCAATTGTTAGCTGTATAAAGTGCATTAATACTGTATTATGTTTGATTCTTCTCTTTTTTTATATTGTCTTCAGATGAGCACCAAGCCAAAGAGCCATAAAGGGATGGGAGATGGGGAGTGGATGGCAAGGCTCAGGGCATTTGCCAGCAGTGGGGTTTGGCCTTCAGATGCTGGAAATAGACCAGCCCCAAGGCAGAAAAAATGGCATGATCTTTATCAGAAGGTGAAGTGAAGCCACTGTATAAAATAAATAAATAAATTAATTAATAAAAAAAAAGACGCATGAGTAATTGTCATTAATAGGATGATGCTGTAATGTTTCAGATAGAAAAATGCCCCATGCAAGCCCAAGGTCAGACCACCCTTTTTGGAGGGTCTGTGTCGTGTAATTGCAGCTTTCACTCTGCTAAGGTAAACTGGTTTAAAATAACAGCTATGTCTTGTCTTTTACAATTCTGGTGAATGATCTTTTTATACCGAGAATATATATCTTTTTTAGCCTGCTCTGCAGCATCCTCCTCCTGTGACCCAGCACTCTATGGCTGCACCATCTACTTCTGCTGATACAGCTCCAGCCGCACGGTCTTTCTTGAGGGTCCCTCTGTCTTTGTCCATGGTAAATGTTTTTGTTCCTCTGCTTAATACTTCATAGTATTACATTTGCCTTGTGCAACAAACCATAATAACAGCTTTCAAGCAACATGTTTTTGTGTGTATTTAGATGCTGCGATTCATATTAGATTTATTTTACATTAGTTAACATTTATTATTTCAGTTCACTAAATCCTGTTTTGGTGGGTCTCTGTCGGATTCACTGAAGCCCAACTTGGTGGCCCGGAAAAAACCTACCCCGTCTCAGTCCTCTGTGAGGACCTCTAACCCGTCTCCGTCCTCTGTGAGGACCTCTACCCCGTCTCCGTCCTCTGTGAGGACCTCTACCCCGTCTCCGTCTTCTGTGAGGACCCCGACTCCGTCTCAGTGCTCTGTGAGGACCTCTACCCCGTCTCCGTCTTCTGTGAGGACCTCTAGCCCTTCTCCATCCTCCGTGAGGACGCCTATCCTGTCTCCATCCTCTGAAATAAGCCCTAGTGCCTCTCCATCTTCTGAGAGCAGCCTGAGTCCCTCTTTATCTGCTGTGAGGAGCCCTAGCATCGCTTCATCCTCCGGGATCCCAGCACACACCTGCGAGACAGTTTCATCTGTAAATACAAGAGTTTTTCTTCATGAAAGTCATGGAATCATAGGTCCAATTATTAAGATATATTTATGCAGATTTCCAAATCTCTTGTGTTGTTTTCAGGGGGAGTCTGGAATGTCCCTGCTACAGTCAGCAGCAGCTGGGGATGCAGCTAATTTCTGGTTGCCAAGTGAGATAAGGAAAACCATACCTGTGCAAGATCAAAGATGGATTTCTAATACCCTCTTTCGCTCTGGAAAACTGCGACCAGATTTGAAGCTCTGGTATAACCCTCCTGTGCCAGCCCTGATCTACCACCAGATACCAACACCTGATCGTTTTTTTTTCCCATCGGCTTATGGTGTGGATGCCGTACCATCAGTGGAAGGTCCGGGTGTTCTGCCGAGGTTGTGGGAAGCATCTTACAGGTGCTGGTATCCACAAAAGGGCTCGGAAGGTCCTGGATATTGATAGGTTTTACCTGCTTGTGACAGAGACACTCAGGTGCAGTGGGTGCAATCTCACATACATATCAACGTCCCAGACCATCCGGGAACAGCTGGACTTGCCACACCAAAAGCTGTTTCGGCTCATCCTGACCCAGAAGTAAGTAAAACATTTTGTAAAATGGTAACTTCAGGCATAAGATACTGGAGTTTGTAAATTCCTCTCAGGCATAAATAAAGTAGTTTTGCACTTAGTACAAAATAAAAAGATCTGTAAATGTTACTACAAACTATATGCTTTATTAATCTAAATTCCAGGTATGCCTGTGACATACGTGTCATTCGCCTGATGCGGGATAGGACTCAGGGGAACAGCTCTGCACGGCTGCTGAAACAACTAAAAGAAAATCATGGGGAGGAATGGCTGGATAGGTTGGGGCATTATTTTGAAGAGTGCTCTAACTTTGTTAATCGGCCAAGCCTGTTCCCAGTTGTGTGCCAGGAGCCCCCAGAGCCCGCTGATGTCCCCACTGATCGCTGGTTGCTGTCTGTGTATGGCAGAGACATCCTGTCACGCATTGACCACATCAAAGCCAGCATCACATCCACAGTAGGCACCATATTAAAGATGGATTCCACCAAAAAGGTTAGTAATAATATAATGAAAATAGCATTTATTATTATTACCAGCATTACTACTATTATTCTATTCTCCTTGATAAACTCCCTTGTAATGAGATTTAACATCACATTTTTAATTGTAGATCACAAAGAAGCTGGCAGGACACAGCAAAGGAACGGCTCTGTGGGTGTCTTCTGTGGGCAATGAGCTGGGCCAGATCTTAAATAGTGTGGTAACTGTGCAGGAGGGTCCAGGTCTTGACAGGATGGCTGCTGGCCTGATGGAGCGGTACCGCCAGGCTGGGGTTGCACCTCCTAAGGTCCTATATGTTGACTGTGGCTGCTGTGTGACTGATGGGCTGAGCAAGCTGCAGGCAAGGTTTGGAGAGTGGCCAGATCTCCACATTCGACTTGATATTTGGCATTTCATGCGGCGTCTGGCTGTGGGATGTACTACAGATGCTCATCCCCTTTATCCTGCTTTCATGAGAGCCCTGTCCTCGTGCATCTTTGAGTGGGATGCAGGGGATCTTGACCTCCTCCGGAGAGCAAAAACAAAGCAGCTCCAACAAGAACAGAGACCTGGTATAACCAGCAGCATGGTGGACAGCCAAATAACCAAAAACGAGCTGAGTACTTACTGCCGTAGGAGGACTCGGGGAGAGGAAGCAACACTTCTACATATAGAACGACTGCTGGAGGAGCTGAGGGGTCCAAAAGGGAGAGACTTGATGGGCTTCCCTCTGCTGGATGAAGTGAGGATGGATCACATCTGGCGTGTGCAAAAACGACACATAAAATGCATCCAAGATGTTCCAGGGATTCAGTTGTACACTGAAGTAGGAAGTATAAACAAAAATGGCATCAAGCTCACCAGCTACCGCTGTGCCAGAGGATCAACATCTCTGGAGTCTTTCCATTGCCATTTGAACAGGTTTATTTCTGGTAAGTCCTCCTCACCACAGTTACACAGCTGAACTGTATTTGCTATCGAAACTGAATCAACTAGCCATATTTTAAATCCACAAATATCTTGATTTTTGTTTTGTTCTTTTTTTTGTTTTTTTTCAGGAACAAGCGCAAATCTGCTGAATTTCCAGCTGTATATTCTGGAAGGCCTTAACAGGTGGAATCAGGATCGGGGCACTGCAGCAGTGAGCAGCAAGCCATCCTGTCTTCTCACATATGCTGGAGACATGACACAGTGCATTAATAAGAACAGCCTGAAGGTACTTGGAAGAGAGTACGTTCCAAACTTCACACCTCCATCAAAATACACAGGTATTTTAATTTGATATATGCAAAGGAAAAAAACTGTTAAACTATTGTATCACTAAGTCACTAATATGTTTAAAGAGTGAATAAGGGTTTTGCTATCTGTGTTCATTAATTTCCCACAGGTGAGCTGCTGGGTGTTGACTACCTGTTAAGTCAAACGGGCAAGCCTCTAAAACCACAGCCTGACTCAGAGGAGACTGATGGGCTTCTAGAAGAAGTGGATCCAACTGAAGGGGAGGAAGATGAAGGCTTCATGGATGAGGATGATTTGGACTTAGTGGTACCAGGACTTCAAGATGGTGTCCTTCTCTCTGCGACCTCACAACTTGAAACCTTCACCCAGCATGCTTCCACATCCACTCAGCCTGCTTCCACTTCCACTCAGCCTGCTTCCACCTCCACCCAGCCTGCTTCCACCTCCACCCAGCCTGCTTCCACCTCCACCCAGCCTGCTTCCACATCCACCCAGCCTGCTTCCACCTCCACTCAGCCTGCTTCCACATCCACTCAGCCTGCTTCCACCTCCACCCAGCCTGCTTCCACCTCCACCCAGCCTGCTTCCACCTCCACTCAGCCTGCTTCCACCTCCACTCAGCCTGCTTCCACATCCACCCAGCCTGCTTCCACATCCACTCAGCCTGCTTCCACCTCCACTCAGCCTGCTTCCACATCCACCCAGCCTGCTTCCACCTCCACTCAGCCTGCTTCCACATCCACCCAGCCTGCTGCCACTTCACAGGTTTTAACCTCCACCTAGTCTGCCATAGCTTGCAATATGCCATAGTTTTGAATAAATAGTAAACTGTAGAACAGTAGATAAATAAAAGAAAAATGTAACAAAATTTCATTTTACTTATATCTGTCATGTGGGTTCTGTTTTCTTAGGGTGTGGATGAGGCAGGTGTACCAGGCCTTGACAAAGTGGACAGCTTGGCTGAGTATCTGGTGGAGCTGAGGAAAAAAACCTCTCTGGTCCTGAACAACCAAGAGGTCAGTAACATGTGTTGTATGCTTGCTGCATACATGCACTATGAACACTCCTCATATCACATAAGCAATCCTGTGTCCTAATGTACAACTGCATTATTCTCTGTTTAGGTTAGCAGCATTATTGCTTTGTGGGAGAACCTCATGAACTTCGACAAGCAGAAGGTGGTATTTGCTGCAAGGCACCAAGACAAACTGAACACTGGCAGGTTTAGGTCCCCCAAAAAGAGGCAGGAATTTACCCCTGGGGTTGAAAGTGTGAAGCGGCATGCCTTAACCACTACAGCCCCATCTGCTCAATGGCCAGACTGCTGTCGCCTGGTTGAGACCATATTCGTTCGCCTTTGCAATATCCATCGTAGTCCGAAAAAAAAAAGGGACTAGCACAGTCTCAAGATGGGATCTGATCCTTCAGGACTACAGAAAAATCAGACAGCTAATTTTAGCAAATGGAGATGTCATGCAACAGACTACATTGCAGCTGGTGGATGTGAGCTACACCACCCTGGTTCAGTGGCATAATAAAAGGGTCAAAAGGCAGGAAACAGCTGTAGTGCAACAAGGGATAAACTTTCCTAGCCGGTTTTCTGTAGCCAGCGAACCACTTCTCCCCGCCAATATACGTCCCCATTATGCCATACCTCATTCAGCATCAATGCATCTGTACAGTCTACCAGCTAACACTGTGGGACAGGCAAAATTAAAAAGAAAGCTGCAGTTTACAGATGGCAAAAATCCATCACAACAGCGGCAGCTTCTCCCTGCTCCACCCAAAAGGCCTCAACTAATGACAGTTGCTCCGGTGGCCACACAGAGACATATTATCCCCTCGGCTTTACAAGAACACAGTTTTTGGACATTCTCTGTCACTCCTCCACATGTGTTTCCTGCGGCTCCTGTTCTGGGCCCTCCTCTGGCCCCTGCTGCAGCTCCTGTTCTGGGCCCTCCTCTGGCCCCTGCTGCAGCTCCTGTTCTGGGCCCTCCTCTGGCCCCTGCTGCAGCTCCTGTTCTGGGCCCTCCTCTGGCCCCTGCTGCGGCTCCTATTCTGGGCCCTCCTCTGGCCCCTTCTCCAGCTCCAGGAACAGCCTCCACTCTTCCTAAGAGAGCACCCCGAAAACTGACCCGCAAAGTTCTGCATAACATCTGCAAAAAATGCGGGCAGTTTAGAATTATTGAGACAGGGCATAGCCAATATAGAGGGCAAATATACTGCCCGTCTAGTGAGACTCTAACCAAAGAGCAATGGCTAGAGCAAATTAAAAAGAAAATATAAGTGTGTTTATTATTTTAGCATTTAAATAGCATTTTACTTTTTGTTTTAAATGTACATAGTTAGTGCTTTTTCAGAGCTGACAATCTTTCAATTTGTTTCATAGAGAGTTAAGAAAATATAAGTGTGTTTATTATCATAGCATTTAAATAGCCTTTTACTTTTTGTTTTACTTGTACATAGATAGTGCTTTTTCAGAGCTGACAATATTTCAATTTGTTTCACAGAGAGTTAAAAAAATATAAGTGTGTTCAGTTTAATAGCATTTACACGTTTTTTTTATTTGTACATAGTGCTGTTTCAGAGCTGATAATCTTTTAATTTGTTTAACAGAGTTATTTATTTAATTTGGGTTATTTTTATTGCAATTTGTTTGTTATTGTCTTTCATTGTTGGAAAATAAATATTCAGTTCTTTAAGACATAATGTGTATGGTCTTCTACGTTCTATCACTCAATTCACTATGAAAGTGCTTTAGGAAATATGCATAGTTTAAAAAAAACAACATAGTTTCAGCTGCAAATGTTCTGTGAAAAATAAAAATGAGTACTGGATATGATTTAGACTATTAAAATGTACTGTATATAGGTACTGTACAGTATGACTGGAAATTTGTATTTTATATATCACTGAAACAGAAAAAATATTTTAATATTTTAACCAATAAAGCTTTAATAGCTTTATTGATAGCTTTGTTTTAGCAGATACAATGTGGTATGTTGTAATATAAAATACGAGACAATTTCCACAAAATAGCATTTGTAAATGTTTTATTAAGACAACAAAAATTACTTTCTTGAACTTTCGGAAAATTTTTCACTCAAACATGGCTTTGCACCTGCTGGGATCGAACCCGCGACCCTGGAGTCGCTCTTTCTCTTCTCCCCTTCTTCCCCCTCCCCTTCTTCCCCCTTCTTCCCTTTCTTCCCCCCCCTACATGGACTATTGTTCCCCAGCTTTGGCGCAATGGATTTCTAGTCCATCGCCTTAACCTCTCGGCCACAACAAACCCAAAAACCAAACCTTGAGGTCACAAAGGCTAGGATAGACTCATCAATGTAACCACTGAAAAAGAACATATTACTCTGTGAAATTCCAAGAAAAGCTAGGAAGGAAGCCTTTAGAGGATTACAAAGTTTTGTCAATTAATTTCTGTAGTACAGTAAATGTTTGTGTAAGCCAGTATGATAGGAAGTATTTGGAGATCTTTTTGACATCAGTATTCCTCTCGAATATCATTAGCAATTGCGTAGGATTTGATGGCATGCCAAGTTAAGCCAAAAGAGAAGTCTAAAGGCTGTCCCATCGCCTTTGTCGTTATACTTCAAAAGTACACATCATTTCAGTGTTAGCCATGAAGTAAGGAAACATTCAGAGTTTCCACCGTCATTTTTATTCCACTCAAGCAGCTGTTTGAAAGGTCTTAGACACAATGTCTTAGACTTAAAGCCAGGTGAAAGATACTTAACAGTAAAGAATGTGGAAATCAGATACCTTTTCACACCCATCATCAAATATAATGCTGTATTGTCTCAGTCTGTTGGTTGTCTGCAACTTCAGTTCTCATTTGAAAAACAGTTTTTTAAAATTGAAGCTAGGATATTGGGCCCAATATGAATACTGGAACTGATCGCAGAAATGTTTTCTACCCACACAGGGGGTTGACATCACCATAAATCATGAGTCTTTACATGCTTTCTCTCTCCTAGAAGTGATGAGCAGCTTGCATTTACTGCTGTTGTCAGTGAGTCAACAAACACTGCCAATAGAGAAAGGAACTAGCATTGCTGGTAGGATTTGAACCTACGCGGGGAGACCCCAAAGGATTTCAAGTCCATGGCCTTGACCTGTCGGCCACAACAACCCCAAAAACCAAATCTTGAGGTTACATAGACCAGGGTTCACTTTAAAACACATCTAAAGGAGCAGTGTAAAAGATCCATATCATCAATGTAACCACTGAAAAAGAACATATTACTCTGTGAAATTCCAAGAAAAGCTAGGAAGGAAGTCTTTAGAGGATTACAAAGTTTTGTCAATTAATTTCTGTAGTACAGTAAATGTTTGTGTAAGCCAGTATGATAGGAAGTATTTGGAGATCTTTTTGACATCAGTATTCCTCTCAAATATCATTAGGAATTGCAAAGGATTTGATGGCATGCCAAGTTAAGCCAAAAGAGAAGTCTAAAGGCTGTTGTAACCCAGTGTTAAAAACTGTGAATAAAAATATAAATATATTTTGATTAAAAATATAACAAAACATTGATAAAAACATTTAAATATAAGTTCATAAAAATAGTTCATAAATAGTTAAAAATATATAAAACGTAATAATAGTAAAAGAGTTCTTCTCGTTTTGATATAATTGTGTGTGATCTACCTACCAACCAATAGCTGTGTTGAACAATATCAGCATTAGCCAATAAGGTCAGGTTCCCTCTCCAAGCCTGTGCTTGGCTTGTGTCTGCTGCTCAGACGTGCCGGAGACGCAGGCTTGGAGAGATCGCTTGTCCAAGGTGGGGGAGCTAGCGCAGTAGTAGCAGCCTTTTTGTTGAAAACACTTGGATTTTGGTAAGCAAAACCAAACAAGCTAAACATTGAAATATTTCATGCTAATGACAATTCGCCTATTAAATTTTAAGATGAGTCCGAAGGCTGTGAACCACACGAGCTGAAACACCCTTATGAGGCACACGTTGCGCAGCTTGGTGAGTGCCGTTGTTGTGTATGTGGGAGGATTAGCATGCTAACCGCTAATGCTAATCGGCGACATGCTAGCATGCTAATCTTCGACAGTTTTTTTAGTAAAGAAAATGGATTTTTCAAGGCTAGTTTCGTCAGCAATGGTTCAAATTCACTTCGTACTAAATCATACTTAATGGTTAAAGTTAAATCCGTCGTGTAAAGTTGTTAAAAGTGTTTTTCTGTGCTAGATTGTTATATTAGAATGTTTTTTTCTTTCCCTCGTGCTGCTAACCTCATGTTGCACTGTGAATGTTATCAGTGTTATTTTCAAGTGCCTTATATGTACGCAGCTTATTTTTTTAATACTTTTTGAGAGCTATGATAGCCTATGTGTAATTTTTTTATGCATTTTAGAGCTTTTCTAAATTTAAAGTGTATTTACAGTACACTACAGAGATAATTGAAACTCATTACTAAGTGATGAGCAGCTTGCATTGACTGCTGTAGTCAGTGAATCAAGAAACACTGCCAATAGTACTATACACTAATATGACTGCTGTTTCAGCCCTACTGAGTGGATGTTATTGAATCTTAAACTAAAGTTGGTATTATGCAACCTCCCCACTTAGTTGAATGCATATCTCTAATCTTGTTCAAAGCTGATTTTCATGAGCTAAAAGTGTATTTCTGTAAAAACGATATAATTCGATATATGTATAATTCAACCCATTTGGTCAGACTTCTTTGTGCTGACCATCGGGCTAAGTAAACTCTTTCTGGTAAATGAGGTTACAACCTGTGCACACCATTCAATCACACCTTCCAAGCCCAACTGAATACCAATTTCTTTTTACTGTGTCTCTTTTACAGTAGTTATTTTGTGTAGATGTGACAACCACAAAAGTGTCACATTTTATGTTTTTGAAAAAGAAAGAGAAAATTGTATTTTATTTTGAATACAAACTGTTATGTTTTATTTTGGTTTGCATTTCTTTACATGGTGATTTGATTTCACATTCGATGTGTGTGTTGCAATGTTTACTCCCTGCCAGCAGGGGGGGGCGAGGGCAGGTTCCCCTTATAGTGTCTCGCATCGCGGTTTCCTGCATTACTGCTTGATATTCTAAACTGACAAGCCGTCTCCTCATCTCTCTCCTGTTTGTCAGGTGGGTAAATGTACATATATGATTTGAAGTTAGGGATGACCCATGCTGAAATGTGTCAGGGATGCTGGTTGACCAGTCTATGTTGTGGTTTTAGACGGGGAGTTTGTGTGATTTGGTTTGAAGTGGGTTTAGAGTGTCGAGGATGGGTCTGGCCGTTGGACGGTACAGCGGTCGCGCGCGCGACCTGCCCGCTGGTAGAGACCATCTTGGGGTAATGAGCGCGCCTCCCCTACGTGAATGTGCGCCTCTGTCATGATTGGTTCTCAAGGAGGTTCCCAATTATGCAGAACACCACTGAGGCGGGAGCAGGAGTATGGTTAAACAGAGTTTATTCTGCACAAACACACAAAATGTACAGGATCTGGTTCGGGCCTGGGTTCTGGTTTCACCGGAGTCTTGAGGGTTCTTGAGGTTCTCTTTGGGAGAGTCACCGTTGGTTCTGGAGAAGAGCTTGTGAGCAGAGTCCGTTTGCTGCTTCAGCGTCTCGCGTTCAGACCTTGGCCTTGGTTTCCCAGCTCTAGTCCAGAGCTGCTTGGAGGTTCTCTGAGGATCTGTAGGGTTTGGCTCTGAGGGTCGGTTCGGCAGGTTAGCTCTTCCTGAGCTTTCACAGAGGAGGCACGGGTTTTCTGGAAACACAGAGACAGAGGTTAGAATCCAACCTGGATTCAAAGTCATAGAGATACAACAAAGATCTAGGCTTTAACGCTGACCAACTGGAACAACGCTGCGGCGTTGAGGCAAGGTCTGAAGACAGCTTATATAGTGGATCCTCTGATGATGGTAATGAGCAGCAGCTGTGCAGGAGGCTCTGCTCAGGAGGATCCACGGCGGACTCTGCTGGAGAAAGATGGTACTACTCCAGCTCCCAAAAGTACCCCCCCCTCAAGGGCGGATTCCAGACGCTTCAGACAAGACCTAGGGAAACAAGGAAACAACAAAAAACATCCCACCAAGGGTGGGCGCAGGGGGCACCAAACTAGGTAGGCAAGAAGCCAAGTCCAAAACAAGAACCAACCCACCCAGGGTGGACGGAGGAAAATAAAAAGGAAAAAACAAACTGAGTCCCAGAACAAAAAACAATCCACAAAAGGTGGACGTCAACAAAGAATGTCTCTGAAATCTTACTGGGAGACACCCGGTAGCAGCTCAGAAATAGGTGCAGGGCGGGGCCGCCCACTGCGGCACCGGAGCTGATTCAGAGAGGACTGCCGACTGCAGCTCTGGCTGCAACATGGAGAGAGCCGCCCACGACGACTCCGGAGCAACCTCCGAGGTGTCCTGAGGCGCCCACCGAGGGCCCCTGGATGCTCGGATCGGCCGTAGAGGGACTCCAGAAGGTTCGGCGGAACGGGGACTGGTTGACTGACTGGAGGCATGGCAGGAGGGAGACCACGATTCTACGTGTCTATGAGTCCAATTAATATGAGGGTTATGTCGCTCCAACCACTCATATCCCAGAACCAAGGGAGAACAGGCTGACGGGAAAACAAGAAAGGTTAAGGTCTCTCGATGACTACCTGAAACTTGAAGCTGAAGAGGCTGAGTTTCGTGGGTAACTTGGTGTAGACTCCTTCCATCAATGGCTGAGACTTTAAGTGGCTTCCTCAGAGGGGTGGTCTTAATGTTTAGCTGTTGAACTAGACTTGAGTCAATAAGGTTTCTCTCACAACCAGAGTCTATGAAGGCTGACAGAGTGAGAGTCTGATCAGAACAGAACAGGGTAGCAGGTAAAAGTAGATGAGAGGATTTTCTATTTAGTTGATGCTTCACCAGACTCCCCATAATCGCAGACGAGCTCCAAATCCTATTCTTTGCTGGACAGGAAAAAACAAAATGCCCAGGTATTCCACAATAAAAGCAAAGTTTCTCTTTAAACCTTCTCTTCCTCTCATCGGGTGTGAGCCTGGTGTGACCAATCTGCATAGGCTCCCCCTCAGCAGGTTCACAAGCTGGAGGAGCAAAGTGAGCCTTTGACACAGGTATAAATTCAGGCTGAGCACGGCTCTCTGTGCTGAATGCCTCTTCGGGAGAAACAAAGGAAGGGGTGTCCCTTCTCTTAGCTGTAGAAACAGAAACGGGTAAAACATGGCTCCTAATCTTAGACTTAGATCTGGTTCGAAGACGGTTATCCAAACTAATTGTCAGCCTAATAAGTTCCTCAAGGGTCTCAGGTGTCTCGAGTGTGGCGAGTTCATCTTTTAAGTTCTCGTTTAAAGCGTTGAAAAATGCACTCTTAAGTGCACATTCATTCCAGCCTGAGGCTGCAGCTTTAACCCGGAAGTCTATGGAAAAATCCGCTACAGAGGAGTTCCCCTGTTTAAGATTTAACAGAGCTCGAGAGTCAATTGTTTGGTCAGAATCTTGGTGGAAAACCTGAGTAAATTCGGAGATGAAGTCTGAATAATAGCCATTAAGACTGTCGTCAGTGGGAAATCTAGCCTGAGCCCACTCCAAGGCTCTACCTGTTAGCTGAGAAAGGATGAAGTTTATCTTCCTGTAATCTGTGGAAAAGCTGCCTGGAGAGTTCTGGAAAATAAGTCGGCATTGAAACAAAAACCCCTTACACTTACTAGGGATACCTGAAAATTTCTCTGGGAGAGACGGGCGAAATTCCGGAAGTGACGTGACAGGCTCCGGTTCCGGAAACGGAAGTTGAACGGGCTCCGCTCTGGGAGCTGATTGTCTGGAAAGCTCCTGCGGAGACCTATTAAGTCGAGTGTTGAGCTCACCCATGATTAAGTCCACAAGCCGGTCCTGAATATCACGGATGGCGCACTCAATTCTCCTAGCCAATTCATCGAGGCTCCCACGGAGGAGGTCCTCAAGGTTCTGAACCCGGGTCGGGAGATCCTTCAGAAGCCTCCAGAGGGGTTCCGCTGGGAAATCTTGCTGGCCGCAGCGTTCTGTCATGATTGGTTCTCAAGGAGGTTCCCAATTATGCAGAACACCACTGAGGCGGGAGCAGGAGTATGGTTAAACAGAGTTTATTCTGCACAAACACACAGAATGTACAGGATCTGGTTCGGGCCTGGGTTCTGGTTTCACCGGAGTCTTGAGGGTTCTTGAGGTTCTCTTTGGGAGAGTCACCGTTGGTTCTGGAGAAGAGCTTGTGAGCAGAGTCCGTTTGCTGCTTCAGCGTCTCGCGTTCAGACCTTGGCCTTGGTTTCCCAGCTCTAGTCCAGAGCTGCTTGGAGGTTCTCTGAGGATCTGTAGGGTTTGGCTCTGAGGGTCGGTTCGGCAGGTTAGCTCTTCCTGAGCTTTCACAGAGGAGGCACAGGTTTTCTGGAAACACAGAGACAGAGGTTAGAATTAGGGCTGCAACTAACGATTATTTTGAAAATCGATGAATCGGCCGATTATTTTTTCGATTAATCGATGAATCGGACACAAAATATTTTTTTTATATTAACCTCTTTATTCCAAAATAAACATTTTAGACAGAACAAACAAGCACACAAGTACAGGTTTCTCATTAACTGTACTGGTGCAATATGAAAAATAAATGTTTGTTTTAAAACTACGCAAACTTACATGAGAAATGTAGCTGTACATCCACAAAATATAGGGTACTTTGTTTCATAAAGCGCAAAAAGAGACAGGCATTTTTGTTTTTTAAAGCCCCTAAGGGGTTCAAACAATAGGCCCCCCCATTTCAACAAATGAGGTTTTTTTAGACTAGAAGAGTT